GCGTCCTAGCATTCTTAGCAGTTATAGTTCTTGTTTACTATAAGTTTTCTTCACATAGAAGTTTCTGTGTAAAAATATTTTATCTTAATGGTAATGTTTGGCTAAAGTTTATATGATTTTGTTATTTTGAAGTTGTTTGGTGCTCAAGTCTACCAGTTAAACCTGAATTGCTATAATTAAGAAAAGCAGAATAAGTAGTTTTAACAACATGAGATTTTAAAAACCCTCAGAAATGTGCTACTTTCTTCACGTTAGAGGTGCGTGTTCACAAGGAGCTTTAAAGCAACAGCAATGCTTTACTGTCAGAATTTACGCCAATATCGATAAATGCACGGAAGCTTAATATAGCTATTATCTATTCCAAAATAGGCCGACCTACTGTCTCTTTCACTTTCCCCCTTTTCTTCTTCTCTAGGAAATCCACTTTTATGCCAACTCTCATCTTCTCCTGAGGCATCTAGTCAACCATCTGATATCTGCAAGCCTCTCTGAGCAGTAGGCCTTCTCACCAGCCTGGCAGGCAGAGTGCGGCACAGATGGCTCAGGGTGCTGCTTTTTCAAGACATTCATCTTTCATTGCTATGGCTACATGTACCAATTCTTCCTAATAACACAGCTCTAAATAGGCCATCATGTCACAGTTGGAATGAAGCAGGTTCATTCAGATATGTAGGCCTAAGCAGCATGGCACCACCCAGTTTCAATGTGGGGCCATAATTTTCTTCTTTGAATATTAGGCAGAAATGTCTTTGACTTGATTGTGAGTCCATGCACTGCCAAATCTGATACAAAATAGAAAAGAGAGAGGGGCCTAAGAAGCATTCCTTTAAATGTGTGTGGATGTTGCAGGTGTGTAATCTATGGAGGGCTATAATAGCCAATTACTGCTGTTAACTATTTTAGATGCCTATATGGGTCATCAGATCCATACATTTAAACTGAAAAACAGTTCATTAAAGCATTTATATGCAAAAGGGTATGGTACTGTGCAAAAGTCAGAGACCACCCTTTATTTAATTACATTCCATTCAAAAATACCTTTAAGTATAGTTTAATACAGTTGCATAAAGGAAGGGAAAGCCAAAGGCAAATAAATGAAAAAACAGGAGTTTCCAAGACAAGACTTCAAAAATATTATTTTTTCTAACAACAAGGCCTCCTAAGACTGGGAAGCCCACCTAAACTGGCACCAGCAGATAAAGAGTATTTAAAGCTTTCATCTTTGAGAGAGAGGTGAAAATTAAGCTCCACTCTTGCTTTAGATCTGAAAACATCTACAGATGCTTCTGTCCACTTTTCACTATGAGAAGACAACTCAACACTAGGAGTATGAAAGGACATGTAACCTGACAATAAGTACACACACACACACACATACACATTTACTAAGCCACTTATCCTTCTGGGAAGCAGGGGGAGCTGGAACCTATCCCAGCGGTCAATGGGCGGAAGGCAGGAAACACCCTGGACAGGTCGCCAATCCATCGCAGGGCAGACAGACATATACATTCACACACAATTAGCATGTGCAGTTGGCCTGACTGCCTGTCTTTGGACTGTGGGAGGAAACCAGAGTAGAACATGCAAACTCCACACAGAAAGAACCGTGGTCACCCGGCCAGGAGAAATTCGCAAATTAAACAAAGAAGGTGCTGGTGTTCTCAGAACAATGGACAGGGCACACCGAGTCCAGACCTCAGCATCATTAACTGTTTGGGATTACCTGAATTGTGAAAAGCAGATAATTCAACCAAATTCTAATACTGAACTTTGTGGAGGTTTGTGGAAGTGCAAAAAATATCTCTAAGCAAAACTGAAAGCAAGTCTCCCAAAAATAACGCAAGCTGATAAAAACTGATAAAAAGCATTAACAACTGGAAATTTTAATAAATGAAGGGTGGTCTTTGACTTTTGCAGAGTACTATATTTCTTTGTACTATAACCCATGCATTAAGTTTACTGGTTGATCGAGATGGATGTCCTTTAAAACAAATAAATAATAATGCTGAATGCTGAATGCTTATTTGTGTGCTGGTTTTGTCCACTTATTGTAACTATTACAGCTAAACTTTTACTGTTTTGCATAAAAAGCTGCAGAATGGACCTCTACAAGCTTTTTCCTCATTTTTCCAGCTCATCACAACTACCATGCCCTTCTATCTGTATCAGTTCCCTGTTTCAAAATTGCATTCAGAAGAGCATGTTTTCCAGTGATGCTGAAACAATTAGGTCATGTGTTGAAAGGCTCTCATTCAGGACCAGCTGGCAGTAGTGATAGTCTGTACCCATGTAGCAGCAGACTACATAGTAGACATTACAGTGCAACGCTTTTTTATTCTTTAGTTTGTAGTTGTGTTGCTATTTCGTTCAATCCACAGTACTTTGTCTTTTCAGTGTTTTGCTTATCTTCCCATGTAAAGCATGAAATCTAAGTGGAATATGAATAAAGAAAGATTATTATTACTTGAACAGAGTTACAAGATGACCTTCTCGAACAAAGGTAAATTCACAGGGCTCTGGATGTCCAAGACTGTTCTTTTGTGTAGCTCCATTACTCTGCAGAACGAATGAAGAAACTACTAAACATCACTCAACACAGACTAAACCGCGTCTGGAAACATGCGTCATATCTGCCACACGACTCTACAGATGATCAGCAGGACCTGAGCGCACACCTCATGATCTGACCAGACACAGATAAGACTTCAGCTTCTGTTCTGCGTCAAACAAACATGGTGAACTCCGTCAGCTAAGCTCCACTTCACTGTCCATTGTGAAATGATATGCACTAAGTATGGCAAACAATAGGCTGGCGTTCACTAACAATCACCGTTTCCTGTAGACAGGCTCAAACCTTCAGCGAGGAAACTTGTTTGGCAAAAGAGTGTCTTCCGCAGAGCCGCTGTATTCCTTCTCAAAGCAAGGTAACACGGTGTTATTTTAAGGTACAGCCATAAACTTACATACAAAGCAACAGCCCTTTCTGTCCCCTTTCTTGTATGTTTGGCATATTAGCATTTTCTTAATATCATAAGCTCTTTTTTAGACACAGATCAAGCCAAGTCATGGAAGAACTTTCTATCAAGAATCCTGAAGGATAGGCTGTTTTACTCCAAAACTGGGTTAACGGGACACTCCAGCCAAAATTAAAAATGCAATCATCACCGCATCTATAAACATGACTATTTGCATCCTACAGCAGTGTCACAGTAGTTGTGGCATGAGATTTTTTTCATTTTAAAGACTTAGAAATCCTCCTGATGACGTATCCTGAAGGTGGGAAAACTTTTAAAAAACTGCAACTGCTTTGTGAATTCATTACTGCCTTCAAATCGTAACTGTCTTCAAATCACGACACTAGAGCAACGGATTAGCTGAATAACAGAAATGTCTTGTCAGATGAGGAAATCCCCAAGCTAAAAGCTAAAGTTAGTAATACAGCTACCTGGCTATATAGATACTTTATCTTAGTTTGGCTTCTTTTCTCTGAAAAGAAAGCATAAAAATCTTGTCTCTGATGATCATTTTGTACAGAATATGAATAGAATCAATTCTGTTTGGCGACCAAGGCCAAAGTTCCACTAATTCCCGCCTGGCTGTATTTATTAGCCTATAGATCAGTGGTTAGACTAGCTGTGAGGACTGGTTGACGCCACAGGGATTCTCAATGGCTGTATGACGTATTTGCGTAATACATGCTGGATGCTGCAGTGAGTGAACACTGATGAATGAAAACAGTGCCCCTTTGAGTCTCAACACCTATATAAATCTACCCTAAAATAAACACCAATGAACGAACGCTGTTTAATGTAGATAATAAAACACATGGATGCCAGAAGACCAACAAAATAAATTTGACTTTATGCTATCCCTGCCTGTTTTTCTATTCACATATCCACCTGTATGATCACTACAAAACTCACAGCAGCTTTAAAATTTAGGCACCTGCCTAGGGGTGGGTAATATTGATTATATTTATTTATCATGATAAATTATGTCACAATATGCTTTGCTGAGCATATTGTGGCAATCGTTAGTACTTAAAGAACTTTGACTAACCACCTTTCATTACAGAGTGAGCCTAATTGGGCCTGTTTAACTGGATTTACTACAGTGATAAAATTCATTTATTATTATGACCACATTATTTTTACATGTGGCACTACAGGCTCTACTTTATCTGTTCCAATGTATCAAATCTCAGTAAAAAAAAAACAAAAAACTAATTATTATGATGCATATCACACATCGTAAAAATGTCTTGAAGTATTGTGATTTAATATTTTTCTCCACATCGCCCATCCCTACTTCTACCTATCTCGGATAAAAGGCCAACACCAATATACTCTCACTCACCACTCCCTCTGACATTAGGGACGAGGTCAGAGCTTACTCCCTCTAACTCTCTCTAACGTCCACTTAACATGAGGTGAATCCTCCCTCATTTTGCATGCCTCCCCAACATGGCCTTGGCACAACATTAGACGGAGGAAGAAGGAGGACTGCTGCAGACTACAGATGAGTGTATGACTGTCTGCACCTGTTGTAGCCATACAGTAGCTCTACACTGCGCAAGCAGCAGACTGAGCCGAGGCTGTTAGCAGCCATTCAAAAAGCAAAGTGAGCAGTTTCAGTGGCAGTAAAGTTCACTATATGTCCAAAGGTTTGCAGACACCTATTTCTCCGAGACCGGACACATTTCTCCTAAAATCAAGGGTGTTAATGGGGGTTTGTTCTCTCTTTGCTGAATCCCTTCTAGAAGGCTTTTCTATGGAGATTTAAGTAGCTGAATTCACTAATAAGAAGGAGTGTCTGGATATTTTGGACTACAGTGTGTAGGATAAGTCAAAGGACTGATCACACCTGCCTGAGCACTGTGGAGTACTCCACGAAGCAGATTTTCCTAGTTAGTCAGATAACTTAAGCCTAAAGTCAGGCATGTCTGAAATGATATAAGTTATGTGATGTTTTGCTTAAGGAAACATCCCCAGGTCTCGTACCTGCCAACGAAGTTCTCAAGGACGGAGCTCTTCCCCGCGCTCTGACCACCGACCACGGCTATCTGCGGCAGGTCCAGATTGCAGCTCTGGCCGATGGCACCGAAAGCATCGTGGAGGCGGTTGACCAGCGGGATGAGGTCCTGCATGCCCCGGTTCCCCATGCTAACCGAGGAGGACACAGATTACCGGGGGGATTTTGACCGAGACGATTAGTGTCCAACCTCCGTTCTCTCCCTTTGCGCCACCATTCAGAGTTTGAACTGTAAAACTAGACAAAGTCGAACAGATTAAGTATGAATTTAAAGACCCAATAGTGAGTAAATTAGGGCGGCGTTACAGAGCGGCGGTTAAAGCCTTCATCACAGTAACGTTACGTTAGCGTACGTTAGAGGCGTGTCCTGGCAGGCTAGTCACTGATGGACTGACTAGCTTCTTCAAATCATTAACTGCGCTTTAAGTTCTCAAACTGTGTCCAGAGAAGTAACTGAGCGTCATTTTGGTTAAATAAAGTACTTAACGTGTTAAACACTTCTTTAGAAATGCTAGCTAGCTGTGTTTGTTTTCCTACCTCGTGCTCTTCGACAAACGCCTTCCCGTCGCGTTTGGACTATCAACTGTTTCAGCAGAACCTGATCTACTTCTGGACACGCAGACCACAAGTCAGCGGTCCCTCAGCCACAGTGAACACTTAGCTGTCCTGCTGTCTGCAGCGGCTGACATGAGGAACCGACACAAAGAAGTCCCTCAAGGAAAGCCGTGGCCGGTGGAAGACTCTCCTTCAACTCCTTGGGCTACTTCGACTCAGCTCAGCTCTCCGGACCAACTTCTGTGTCCCACTCTCCTGACAGCTAACGGCTCGCTCGCGGCGGCGCATGCGCAAAAGTGACACCAAGCCACTCCTCAGTGGAAAATAAACGATACATTTTATCGCTGGTTTCTGAAGGGTCGATTTTACAGTTTTAAACCAGTCATTGTGAGTTCAGAGTGTAGGTGTCGAGAACTTCACGCCCCAAGTTTCCTAACAGCCAAGTGGTGCGTAAAAGATCCGCCTTCCTTTCAGAGTGACAGGACGCAGGCAGCCCGATTCATCCAGTAAAAATAACACCGCTGGATTTTATGGCACGCTGCCTCCCGGGTTGCCAGGTTGACAATCATAGATACATTTTGAAGAGCGTTCTTTGAATAGTTATTATTTGATTATTAACAATTTAATAATAACAATAATAATCTTTGATTAAATGTTCTGAAGAGCCCATATCCTATATTTTTCTTGTTTATTTTTTTCCCTGAGCACCACGTTTGATGTTTCAGAAACATTTACATGCCTAGCCTTTCATTATTTCTTAGAATTGCATAGGCAGTTTTTGTTACTGGGCCTTTAAGACTGATGTATGTAAATGATCTGTTCTGTACTGAAACACTCCTTATAATGGGTGAATGGGTGGAGCCTAACTGCTGCAGGCTGAAGCAATAAATACAAAATGGACTGTTTCCATTATGGACCCTATGGACTGGAAAGTGAATGGTACCTTTTAAAACTTTAGCAATGTTAACATACTGCGTCAAACTCCTTTACTTAAGAAAAGCGAGAACAATTCAGTTTTTCGTGATATGGGCCCTTTCAATGTAATACTTTTCTAATAACAGTGAGCACTTGCACTCACGCAGGTTTAATAAGACAGCTACATACAGCTAAATTAATACAATATTTATGAGTTATGTTATAAATATAATAATAATTATGTTACTATTATTGTTACTGTTGCCTAAAACACTTAAGGAAGTCAGCTCAATCATTATAATTACAAATCTATTGATATGTTAAAGCATACAGTTCAGATACAGTTCAAATAAAACCTGATATCAAGGCAAATGAAAATTAATAGGTTTGTCTTATCAATGCGAAATGACATGGCGATTAAAAATTAGGGCTTGTGGCAATATATTAAAATCTCGCTCTTTTCTACATTAGTTATGCTGGATATTGTTTTCGACCGCCATGTTGTGCCGCCTGTGGGTTGTGTTTAGTTATGTGCTACTGACAAGCAAAATACAAAAACGACACATTGTTTTTAACCTTAACACTGTCTCAAATGTTTCATGTATATTTTCAACAGGTACATTCTGACAGCAAAATGTTCAACCTTTAAATTATAATAAAGCACAAACCAAGATGTAAACAATGTTTCTTTACAGCTCACTGTATTGTTTTGACAACATAATCAATAATCTGATCTCAAATTTAAGGAAAACCCTTTTAATAGAGCATCTACTTGAGTGCTTCTATGTACACCTTCAGATCAGTTCTCCAAGACCCCATACATTTTCATTACTCTTTATCGCACAAGCACACAGAGAACCATCCCCTTATGCAGCAAGTAATGTTCAAGCTACCCTCAGGTTCTTCAGCATTGCCGAAATGTCTATTTGAGGGGTGCAGGAGGCATTCTGGCTGCTGTTCCGCAGCACCGCTTGTAGGCTTTTGGCAGACTGTTGCAGCTCCTGTGGGACGACAGAAGGTTTGTGTCCTTGACCTCCACCCCTAGAACACAGCAGCACCTCATTGACCTCGCCTTCAATGGGACGAGAGAACACACACGGGAACACAGCCTGTACGCGCTCCATCACTGACTGCCGCAGGGATGAGTCACGACACACCAGGTTCAACATAAACACTCCTGAGAAATATGCAGAGATGGAGGGAAATAAAGAAAATGAGAGAGAGAGAGAGAGAGAGCAAGAAAGAGCGAGAGAGAGAGATAGGGGAAGAGAGAAAGGCGTAAGCATAATAATCAGTGCAATGCACATAACAGCACTACTTATAGCATTACCTCTCAGGTATGCAATTCATGAAAATAACTAATCAGTTTATCCTGCATTTTTGCAGGAGGTGTATTTTATTCTTTTCCCCCTTAGGTCAACATTTGACATATGACGTGTTTGGGTTTATGCAACAAAAACAATAACTAATTTTTACACGACCATTTTCCAACCTCTATTTATCCCTGAGAATTTAACACGGTGCTTCTGTTACTACTGTGCCTGATATGAGACTGATACATGTAAATAACATGTGATCTCTGATTTGTCTGGCTGCCAAATATTGTGCCTCATTCAAAAAGCAATCTGGGTTAAAATATTCCTTGTCACTGTAATGTGAATGGGCGGGGCTAAACTGCTGCACACTGAGGTGGATATATCCAAAATCCCTGGTTTTCATGACATCACAAAAACAATGAGCTTAAAGTGGGCCGTTTTTTGCGGTTTGGTGTCCATATATACACTGGGAAGTGACTGGTACATTTTGAAACTTCAAACCATGTGTACATATTACATTTTCTTATTTTATCAAAATCAAGAAATATTTTTTCTTTTAATGATATGGGCCCTTTACATAATCAAAGTTACCTAAACAGAGTCACCATACCTCGAGGGGTTAACAGCTTGCAGACTTTCTCCAATAGTGGTGTTTCTACAAAGGCAGGCGGAGGGCAGCTCATGCCCAGGGTGGGGTCTTTGCTGTCAACGTCAAACATGATGACATCATAGGAATGTCCTCCTATAAATAGGGTGCAGATAGAATGGTGGGAATGAGAAGAAGTTGGGAGGGGCCATCTGACAGTCCACTACAGACATTTAAGAATGTAACACATGGAAAACATATCTTCCGAGCTCTTATCATTTAAACAACTATCAGCTCGCACTGTTTCATGTAACTTTACCCAAACCACATTAAAGGCTACAGAGGTGTACCAGTAAACTTAAAATATGGCTTAGAATTAAATTAATTATTTAAGATACACAGATATGCCAACTGACCATTATCCAAATCTCACAATCATACATCTGAAAAAGTGTTTGAAATATTAATGGTAAGCTTTAATCAACAAGGCCTCTACTTATAATACAATAATACAGCTCAATATTCATACATTGCATAGACATTGGCAAAAGATAAATTCCTTAATGAATTACAGATACACATTACTGTAGACAAGTGTTAGGGACATAAGCTCATTGTTTAAAAACATTTGTCTTGGAAATAAACACAAAATTTAGTTCCAGACTTCTCCTGGCTACCCCCAACCACGTTGACGGAATTTAACAAATCCATATTAATATACTTGATTTAACATAATAAAGTACCAAAACTAGTAGCCAAACTAGGTGTTGGATAATAACTATAAATAATACTGGAAATGTTTGGAAATGGTTAAACAGATACATTGCGATACATAGATTTACTACTTTCTTGTATTCATGTTATTTGTGTTTATTCTAATATTAGTGTTTTTCTGAGCAAATGAACACTTACTGCCCAAATCAATAGCCTTTTCAATCTAACTTTGCCGGGTGCCTAAACCTTTTGCACTGTAATGTATCTGTTACCCAAAAGTGCTGCAGCAACTTCCGTCGGATGTACGCATTTAGTAATGCATTCATGTGAAAGATTCATGTATCTACTCATATATCAGCTCTCTCTCACCCTGGCTCGCCAGTGTGCTGATGTGCTCCAGGCCATCCCCCAGTATGACTTTCAGTCTGTCGTCAGTCTGGAACCCAAACCAGGTCTGCGCTACCTCCAGCACAGCAGGGTCCAGCTCCACCACTTCCACTCGCACACCGGGCACAAAGTCCCGCATGAACTGGGGCAAACCTCCACCACCCAGCCCCACCACTAACACTGATACCAGCACATCTGTTCAACAGAGGAGAGTTCAGAAGACTTCAAGGTAATAAAACTGAAATCAACAAAAATATACAAGTGATGTTTTTGTTGAAAACAACTGTTAAGACCACATAAGTTGTCCAATAGTATCCCTCTGATTCTTGATCCTGAGTACCGTTACTGATCCTAACTTACTACTCAATAGATGCCTGGAAATCCTGAAATTTATATGACTGCCCTTTCAAATTCTGAATTTTGGTAACAGCAGCAACACAAACTAAATAAAATGCTATTTACTATTTACAGAGCTACTAAAGTCTCTGTGCTTTTTGGCATGGTTCATTTTTAAAAGCTAAATTACATTTGATGTATTGAAATCCTTGCTGATTGAAATACTGGCATTGCAGATTTGCAATGAGCCTTTTTACTAAGGCTGGGCAATATGACAATATTTAATATTATTGTGATAAATATTTCTGAGCATATGGTGGATATAGTTAGTACTTAAAAAACACTTCACAACTGCATGTTTGAGTACAAGGAAAGCATAGTCACAATTAATTGGATTTAGTGCAGCTCAGTATGTTAAATGTTGAAGACAAATCATTGTATTCCTAGTTTTTGATAGTATTTTTAAATGGACATTACGTTGTCTGCTCCCAATTATCAGATGTCAAAATATAAATAAATATTGTGATATATGATGCATCATTAAAACGTTTTTTCCACATCACCCACATCTACTTTTTACTACTATGTGTGTCAGGAATTGCTTCATGGTATCGTTATTTTCTATTGCTGATATGGATACTGTAACGCTATTATCCAAGCAAGAATGCCTGGACAAGATGTTTTTTAACTGCTAATCTTAGTTCAGTTACTGCTTTGATTAAACACAGAAGTGACTAGCCTCAACCTCATCTTCTATGCAGTATCACACTGGATGTGCCTACCTTTATTTTTGATGGCTTCTGTTCCTAGAATGGCAAGGCCTGCGACCATCACCTCATGATGAGTACAACATAGAAACCCTCGGTCCACAATGTGGCCTTTGCCGGCAGAAGCTGGAGCGTCAGTAGCAGGAGGTTTTGATTTCTTCTTACTCTTCTTTTTATGAGCAGAAGAGGCTGGGAAAGCAGGAAAATGAACTTCAATCAAAACTTGGAACCTTTTACATTCTGTATTATAGCTAATACACTCCACACATAACAGGTAACCCCCATTCCCTGATAAAGATATATATGCATTAAATGCATTAAACTCCTCCTACACTGGAATTGAGTGACTCACATGTGGTGGTGGATTGGAGGCGGCTTTCAGACTGCACTAGCTGTGTGTTGTTCATGAAGACCAATCTTCGGTACAGATGACCATCCTCTCCTCGCACATCCTCCACGGAGTATTGCCCTGTTATATCACTGACCCCTCGGCCTACCACCTCCCTCCAGCCAAGGTCACCCCCAACAGATAAGAACGGCACCTAAACCACAACATGTCAACAAGATAAAGAGAAAAACAGGATGAAATACATTAATCAAAGAAATACATTTTATATAACTAACACTTTTTAAAGTAAAAAGGACAGAACTCGGCATAACTGCTTTTATATATACATATATTAGGAGTGCGGGAAAAAATCGATTCTTAGATGCATCGCAATGCGAATGTGAACGATTCTGAATCGATTCACAATTGTCAAAAAATCGATTTTCTAAATATTTAATTTATAACGTAATGTTGACGAAACACAAAAGGCTGAACTCGGAAGTGGGCAAGTGCAGCGCCCGGACAGTCTGTGGCGGCACATAACAAAAACACAACTGGACAAGTGAGAAATCCGACCGGCTCCCTCTGCATTAAAGCCAGGTTACATCAGGAGTCACAGCACAAATGATAAGAAGAGACATTCTGACCTTTCAACAAAAATCAAACCAGCTTGGGAGCCACAACATTTAATGTCCAGTATGTCTCAGTATGTGATAATGTCCTAGTTTAGGCTAAACTATATAAACGAAAACGCAGATTTACTCTGCTCTGCTTTAAGCTTTAGCT